TCACCAACGATGTTTCAACCCAAAACACCAAAATATAAATGCTTTCAAAGTGTTAATGTATAATACACATTTGTATTCATGCGAGTAAAACACTAAAACACTTTTCTTCCAAATTGTTAAATTGTTTTATCATGGAGCACTTTCTAAAACAAATACATATGTAATGTTTCAAGGTAAAACACTGGAGGATTCATGTTTTATAAGCATTTATGTGTACGACATGTACACAATTTCATCAGTGTAACTAAAACACTTTTCTTACAAATTGTTTTGTCTTGAAGCACTTTGTAAAACAAACACACATGTAATGTTTCAAGGTAAAACACTCGACTGTGCATGTTTTATAAGTGTTTACATATATGACATGTACAAAATGTCATAAAAGTAAATAAACCACTTTACTTTGAAACTGTTTTACTTTGAGGCACTTCAGAAAACAAACATGCAATGTTTCAGCCTAGAACACCCGATTATATACAGGACACTTTTGTATGCAGTCTACGGTATGCATCTATAATAGACACAATACTTATTATCGACTGTATGCAGCATATTTATTTGGAAAAAATGCTCACACACGTCAAATTTGGCAGCAAGTCATACTACGCATGTAGCGATAAATTTACCGATTTTAGTATTTTGCGAGTGTACATACCATGTACCTGCCACAAGTTTAATATTAAATTAAATATTAATGAAATTAAACATGCACGGTGTTGTTATCAATGTTTGAGTTAGTAAGCTTGACGACAATGCGCTAGACAGGCAATTATTCCCTGTGATCTAATAATTAGATTCAATTTCGTAACAGCTCTTATTCTATTGGCGGAGCCTCGGTGTTGAATTCCAATATGGTGATTACCACGCACCTGTGCAAATTGTCGCCTAATTTAAACAAGCTCCTTTAAGTCTCTAATAATACATAACCACTAAATTGTTATTCAGAAATTTAATTAATACAATAAATACAATATGAAAACAAATATTGAACAATAAATAAGTTTGCTTCTTCTTTGCAAATATTTTGATACCTTTCGTAAACGACGGCTGACATTAATGTATGTTGCGTGTTCAAGTCACTGGTAAGTTGTGTCGTGCGCACGCTCATTCATGATTGAATTATACTATCGGGAGTGTGTAGACAGGTGGCATATTCGTTGAAGAAGCAATAACAACTTGAACAGAATGAAGTCTGTTTCGATTTTCTGAGGAAAGAAGGGAACTGGAAGTTATTCTAAACAAACCTGAAGGTATAATGATATTGTTACTCCGTTACGAAGCGTGTGGTAATTGTAATTGATAAAGCCAGCATCGGCAGTTGTGTACTAATTTGATATTTGATATAACTGATTAAACTCAATTTCATGAATTTACAGGACCAGTGAATTTCATACCACATTACGTCAATGCCGACATCCCCCAGATCAAGATCTGTGTTACCGAATAAAATCATAGAAATGTTGCAGAATTTAACAAGAAATTGCAGTTCAATTTGTTTGTGGTCATATCCTCGTCTTCTCGTTACATGCGCGTTAGTTTAAAACAACAATAATATTTTAATCTTATATCGCTTTGTTTGAAACAATAATGATAATTATTTGAACATTACTCGCTGCATTTTGATAATATCCTACTTTTCAGATTTTAAGAGAAGCGATTGGAGCGAACAAGATGAAACTGCTAATGTTGGGAATTAATTTTTTCCTGTTAATATGGGTTAGTGCTGAAAGGGTTCGAAGATGTTATTGTTCGTTTCAGTTAATTACTAATTTGTTTTTAAGTGTCATTTTTCCCAAATATTGGGTATTATATCTACAGTTTAACGAAATGTTGTGAACTTACTCACGCGATAGTATCTTTTACAACAACTATGCATGTCGTTTTTTCTTAAATGTTACACTCGAACTTACCTCATTAATGTTTATATTTAGGAATACATACTTACTTGATTATGTGGTTTGTTTATCGTATGTTATGATTACTGCACAAAGTGTGAAGTGCTTCATCATCATCATCATCATCATCATTTGATAGATTTTGTTTTTAAAAAGATAATGTTAATGATTTGTTACCATGTTGTCAGTATAAATACATTTTTAAATGTGTCTCTGTTACGGGCACTTGTCAATATTGTGTTTTACTGTTCAAAGTGTTGCGATGATAAACACTTTTTCAATACATATTTCAGGTGGAAACTCTTTTCAATGTGTGGCCAGTGAAATCACTTTATTAAAACATGTCTTCGGTTGAGACACTTTACACTTTATAAACACTTTACAAAATGTGTGTCTAGTAAAAGCACTTTTAAAAGTGTTGTAATAAATAAGCACTTTTTATACATGTTCCTGGTGGGAAAACTTTACAAATGTGTGACTAGTAAAAGCACTTTTAAAAGTGTTGTTATAATAAGCACGTTTTATACATGTTCCTGGAGGAAACACTTTACAAAATGTGGAAACATTTTTAAAAACATGTTTCTAATATGTTATGGGCAAAATCATCCCTGAAATGTTCCACTAAAAGTGTTTTCATAATATACACTTCTCGCAATTATGCAGATTATAAACACTTTAAGTGTGTTTTTTTAAAGTGGGACAAGCTTATAAACACTTTAAATGTTTTATCACGAAACAGTAAATGTGTTTTATTTTAAAACAGTGGTGTTGTTAAATAACTCATTTGCGATTTTAGGAAAAACACTTAATGTGTTTAATTATAAATCACTTAAAAATGATTTTAAAGTGGGGACAAAAATGTGTGATATTTTAAAACACATTCATTTACAGAGTATTTACAGAAATTTCAAAATATTTACTTGTTTGCAATGCTATCCTACAATTTTTGTTTGATATATTTGAATTTCAGTAATTATGATATGTATGATTGCGACGAGTAAAGGTGTCCACTCAATATTAACAGACAGAAAAATCTTCTGCCATATTGATAGAGATCTCAACAGTACATTTCTATATTATATTTAGGAATACATACTTGATTATGTGGTTTGTTTATCGTATGTTATGATTACTGCACAAAGTGTAAAGTGCTTCATCTTCATCATCATCATCATCATCATCATTTGATAGATTTTGTTTTTAAAAAGATAATGTTAATGATTTGTTACCATGTTGTCAGTATAAATACATTTTAAAATGTGTCTCTGCTACGGGCACTTGTCAATATTGTGTTTTACTGTTCAAAGTGTTGCGATGATAAACACTTTTTCAATGCATATTTCTGGTGGAAACTCTTTTCAATGTGAGGCCAGTGAAATCACTTTATTAAAATATGTCTTCGATTGAGACACTTTACACTTTATAAAAACTTTACAAAATGTGTGTCTAGTAAAAGCACTTTTAAAAGTGTTGTTATAATAAGCACGTTTTATACATGTTCCTGGCGGGGAAACACAGAAATATTTAAAACACAGGAAAAACATTACATAATCGTACCTTACTAGAAAACTAAAAACACCGTCGTTATTTTCCTATTACAATTTATCAGCCACGTCCTTTCTCCCTACACCTTGAAGTGCCTGTCGAAGTTTCTCTACTGTTGCATTTCCATTCTGTTTCCACTTTCTGAGCATTGCCATTATAACTTCTTTTATACCGTCTATCCGATGATCAGAAAAGAAGGCTTCTAAATCGGCGTCTTTGAATCCAAGCTTTCTTCCAAGTGGTTTCCATTCTTTGGTAATTTCATTCACCACAAACTCGATGTTGTCGGTACTAACTTCGGTGGATACTGCGACTGAAATATTAACATAAATAACAACAAAGTGACACGGACAACGAAGATATTATTCTTTATGGACTGGATAAAGCTTTTGCGGGCCGAGGACGTGCGGCGGAAGCGCCTAAGCTTGTGAGTGCGCGTAAACCGTACGATCGAGGGCAGCATCCAGTTCATTGAAGATTTTATCATACACTTTATGTGAACAAAATCTTTAGTTATATTTGTTTTCGCTCGTCTGACCCAAAAGAAAACTTATTCGATTTAATCCGGGTTCCGATACGGGCCTTTTTACTGGCGCGGATTTATACGGGGGATTCTAAAGGACGCAAATGCGTCAACAACTCTCACACAATACGCAAAAGAATGTCGCCAAATATATCCACAAATTACGTTTTAATAGAACAGCAAATGGACGCAAATTTATAACAATATTTTTAAGTATTAAATACTAACTCATTATAAATTTTCTTTCTTAAGTATGAACACTACAGTCCAGATAAGTTGGTCATTTACTGACCGTCCGAATAATACAAAACAAACGGACGGTTTTTTTTTGTTTTGTTTTTTGGAGCTGATGTTGTAGCTGCAGGTAGAGACGCGTTGATTTCACAGTTGTTAAAAATTGTAGTCGGTAAACAAGAAACAATTGCTTGACACGAAGCAGTTTGGTTTACAGTTCTAGATTCGGGCGTAGCTCTTCTCAGATTTTCTGAAATGCGCCTATGATCTTCCGTGGCGACAGTATCGTAGTGCTGTAAACTTGACACGTTTTTGTGATAAGTTATCTTTATGATTGATTGTGGTGGAATGCCGGCTTTCGTCAGGGTATTAATGAGTCCAACTGGTCTTTCGGTATATTTTCCATGCACTGAATAATATCGTCAGCCATTATGGAACCGCGGACGATAGTCTCAAATTACGCGCGTTGTTTGTATACAGAAAGTAGTTCCAGGAAATAGACGCGTTTACCAAACATGGTAAACGGGGCCCGGACGTGATATGGAAAATTATTGCACGGCTCGCGCATTGGGATTCCCATAGCGTTACGAGGCCGGGTTTTACGAATTTTATGATAAACAACAACTTTATAAATGTATTATGATACATTCATAAAGTTGTTGTTTATCATACATGGAACGTTTGTATTCACACTGACTGTCTTTACAAAAATTGTGTATGAAATCAATTTTGCGACATCACATGAAGTTATTTTTCTAAACATTATATTTCATATTTCAAAATTACCATTGTTTATCGGCTCGGCAGAATCAGGTTGGTCCATGTGTGTTTTGACTCTATTAATCAGATTCTTAATTTTTTCTTCGAACTTGCTGTCATCTGAGAAGTCAATGTACAATTTACCAGCGCATATTAACGCAACTTCATTATCTGGAAAACAATTGATGTGTGTGGTTATTATCATTTTTATTATTTGTGGTGAGTAATAATAGTCTGACATACAAGTACCCAAGAAACCAATCAGATCATGTAGAAAGTGGGGGTTTAATATTGATAGACAATCACTGGTATAAATCGCTTCCAATTGCACTTGGCACGCAGCCGTACATTTAAAACGAACAGCGCCGCTATATACAGTCCGTTAAATATGCACATGATCGACATCACCTATATTTGTAATATCGGGATATACAATGTGAATGCTTGCATGACATACCAAATTTCACATCCTGTATTTTGATGGGAATGATGCATTTTTTTTTGTCGGCTGCCAACCTTAATTCCTGTTTACAGTTAATACTGCTCTGATATCCATCCGAGATACATGCAATAAATACAAGGGAATTAACGACCCCTCCGCCCATTGATGAATAGATTTCGTCTGCATAAAATGGACAAATCGTTAGTAGATTATTATTATTTATTTATTTACATTTAATTTTATAATATTATGAAAAAGACTCTCAAAAAATAATACAAGAATCCATACGTTTTTCCAGGCACAATCGGCTTTGTAAAAACTAGTACCAGAGTAAATATTAGCTATTTGTAGCGCCCTCTACCGACGCAATATTAACCACAATTAACCACAATATCACAATATATTTGTAAGTCAATTTCTCAAAACTTTTTTTTTATTATTCAATTGATCGCAAAATTGTTAAATATTTTCTAACTATTTTATTTATGATCTGTTTTTGACAAATCCTTGAAATTCCCGAGATGTTTCAAAAAAATATTTGTAGCTTAAATTTCATTGACGAGCTAATAAAGGTGTTGAGTGTGATCATATCATATTCAATACATTTGAATAGCAGTAAGATTTAGTCAAAACACAGTGCAATGGAATACTTTATCTCAGTATTATGTGAGCACACAAATTCAGCAACATGTTGAGGTCACAGAAGCTTTCATTTGCTTCGGACGCGATTTAATAAGACAAACGGTATATTACTTTAATATATACATTGTATGAATGGTATTTACTCACTGCCCATATCATTGACATCTCTCCAAACACGAATATCATTTGCTGTCATTTCATTGGCTATTTTATCAACTTTTGTTTTGTCATTCCAGCTGTAGGAAATCATTGCAGAATGACGTGATTCTCCTGGTTCTGCCATTTCTATAACCGCGGTAAGTAGATTGATGCCTGTGAAAAAGATGGTGATTTGTTGAATGGGCTCCACTTTGATATTGAACTATACCAAAAATGAATTTGAAGTCATTAACTTTAATTCTTAACATCATAGAAATGTATAACCATGTAAACAGCGCCATCTATGATAACCATTGTCCGTGTATAATAATTAATCAACCAATAAATAACACATGTGTGATGTAAATAGACATTTTACAACTAATCTCCTAAAAGTCAATTACATGATTTATGAACCGTAATAGGGAGGACTCTAGTAACGTAGATATTATGCGGCAACTATCGTACTCACGGGAGCCTATTTAATCACAGCGAATCGCTCTAGGAGCTTCGCTGTGGTGCTTTGCTGTGGATTACTAGGCCCCTGTGACCAGGGAAAGATCGGTTTGGAGGGCTAAACACACACAGGTCCAAATCCAATTAATAGACAACCAACTCCGTGTTCGTGCCAACGTACAACATGCCGTGACAGGACACCGTCCCTAAAACTGCTTAAAACTCACTGAAATATACAGTACATACTTACTCTATACAATCAATCTATACTAATATAGACAGACACGTAACACCGTACTTACTTGACAGTAAATCGGTAATGGTAGCCTTGTTTTCAATATCAGTCTGATAACTACGGCGTTTCGTAGAATATGGTTCCCGCAAATGTCACCGCGCATGCGCAGAGCCAGAGTTTGTTTGTAAGTGCGAGTTTGTCATGTGTAACGAGTGTAAATCTATAGAGGCTTTGCAGTGACGTCACAAAAATCACTAGGCCGCCATGTTGGATTACAAACAAACCATACGCAACGAAAGCCACGGGGAGGGTG